TGACTGTCCTCATGTAATAGATCAGCAGTCTCCAGACTTTTTGGCACCAGGGACCAGTTTCACGGAAGACAAATTTTCCACCAACTGGGGAGGGGAGATGGTTTTGGGATGATTCAAGTGCATTACATTTATTGTGCAGTCAAACCTCTCTGCTAATGATAATCTGTACTTGCAGCTGCTCCCCAGCGCTAGAATCACCACCTCGGCTCCACTTCAGATCATCAGGCATTGGATTCTCATAAGGAGCCTGCAACCTAGATCCCTCACATGCGCAGTTTACAGCAGGGTTTGTGCTCCTGTGAGAATCTAGGAGCAGAGCTTAAACAGAGATGCAAGCGATGGGGAGTGGCTGTAAATACAGACGAAGCTTCGCTAGCTCACCCGCCACTCACCTCCTGCTGTGCAGCCTAGTTCCTAACAGGCCACGGACTGGTACTGATCCACAGCCTCAGGGGTTGGGGACCACAGTTCCAGATGACAAAACTAGTTATGTGACTGACCTAGACCACACAGCTAGAAAAATGGAATCGCTAGGTTTCAAAGTGGACCCTTGTGAATGACTCCAAAGCTCGCCAGGCTGCCCCCCTCCTGCCCTCTGAGGCCTCCAGCCCTGGGCCCCAGACTGGCCACTTCCCACAAAGCCTCCTGTTGGCAAGTTGTGCCCCTCCAAACACTCCCTGAAGCAAGAACTACCTTCCCAAACCACTCCAAACTGAACTGGGCCAGCCCCAAACCCACCCCAGCTCCAGTCTTTCCAGCTGTCCACTGTCTGTCAGAAAGCAGAGACTATGGGGGCTCAGGGGAAGAAATGCAGAGGTACAAAAGATTTTGGAGCCAGCAGGAAGACAAAAGAATGACAAGAAGGAGCAGCTGTTTGCAAAGGGAAACCTGAGGCAGGCACAGAGCTCAGCTCCCTAATCCCAGGCTCGTGTGGAGCCAGGGCAGGGGCCCCCCAAGGTCAGGGATGCGAGGGCAGGCGAGTGGGAGAGTCGGTCTCCACTCCTGGGTGGGTCCCCTCTCCTGTGTGCACAGACTACTGGTGCCTCATTCCTCCTTCTGGGCCAAGTCTCCTGCCACTTTCTGACCCCATTCTGCTGCCTTCCCTTTGGGTTTGAGGGGCATCTTTCCGATTTCCCTCTTTCCCTGGTGATGTCTCCACTAATTCGCCCTAGTGTCTTCCCCACCCCCATTCCTGGTAGTAATTTTAGCAACTTTTCCTCTGAACTACCGCTGGCATGTTCACAGCAAATGGCCTCTGTTTGGGCCTGACACTTGATCAGGGTGGTGACAGAGCCCAGACAAAGCAGGCACAATGCCGGGGAGGCGAGAACAGAGGGACAGATCACCTTCCTTCCACTCCAGGCCTTATTTGGTCTACCTTGCTGAGGTTGCCCCCCCCCCAGCTCTTTTTATTTATAGCATTTTGCTCTGCTCTCCTTTGTCTTGTCTACTATCACCCTGTAGTACTCTCTACACAGTCCCCACCCACCCCACGTGGTGGGGCCCCAGCCCCTCACTCTTCTGACTAGGAATGTGTGTGTTTGCAAAGCTTGGGCCTGAATTCCACTTCTACAAATAGTTGAGTAGAGGTACCCAGGGGAGGGATCTTTCTTTTGGTCATAGTTCTATCCTTGTTGACCAGAACGATGCCTGGCACATAGTAGGCACTGCGCGAATACTTGTTGAATGAAGGAATCAGCAAAGCCGCTCAGTCTGCAGACAGCACACACACAGAAAGACAACCATGATGGAGCCAAGAGCAGGGGCTGGAAGGGCTGGGGACTAGCAGGACAGCAGACCCTCCAATCTGAGCCGTGGGGCGGAGAGCCTAGTTAGGGAGGTGAGTTCTGCTCTGCAACAGGGTGTGGAGAACAGTAACACCAAAACACCAGCAGGCCGGAGCCCCCCAAACCTTGAAGGAGGGCAACAAAGTGGGATTGGCTTTACTAACTGTGGAAAAGTTTCCCAGGTCCACAGCCAAGGCGGCTGGCCCGTCGTGAAGGCACTGGCTTTGTAACGGCTCAACTGTGTCCCGAGCATCCTTTGTACACCTCGATCCCCTGCATCTGTGCCCGAGCCCTGGGGAATCAGGAGGGGTGACAGTTTTGTGCTTGGAAACCTGGAAGGGGTGGGCGAAAGAGTTTTTGCCCTTCATCACCCATCCCTGGGGTTCCTACCTAGGGTGCTGGTTCCTCAGCGCCTGGCAGGGCCTGGCCGGGGCCGCCTCAGCTACCTCGGCACTGCAGAGCTGCTGCTGCATCAGATGCGTCCCCTGCAGGTTCAAGTCTACCCCCAGCTTGCTACACTCCCACACACACATCCGCTAAATGTCCTCAGACTGTGCCTTGGTTGCTGAGCAGCCCCCACAGAGGCCCTCTCATGGATTTCTCCTTCCCAGCTATGCCTACCCCACCTTCAAAATATACCTGCCCTGCACCCCATCCCCCAGGCCTGCTTCTCTCCTTCCAAGCTGACAGCTAATCAGATGGACTAATCCGCATGCGCCAAGTGCAGTGCGCTGTGGTTGGGGAGAGGGGGGATTTCAAACCAAAGCCCGCAGTGGTTGCCTGGACACGCAGCCAGTCATGCTTGCACTCTCCATTGCTGAGTGTGGCGTCAGCTATGTTCTGCGCTCCTGGGCTGGGCCCCAGCTTCCTCTCCCCACTCCTCTGCAGCTGCTCCCAGGGCCTGCAAAGGGGAAGATTTTTCCTGTCCTGCCCTTCTGCCCCACTTGCCTGGAGAACACCAGTCACCTCCAGGTCTGGACACAGGTCGCCCCACCAGAGACTGGTGGGCCAGGCAACAACTGTCTTGGTTAGGGGTCTCCATCTAGCCCAGAGCAGCTGTGTTATCTATAGTTCAGACAGAGTCTGGCTCTGGGCCAGGGCATTTAGTACCTGCATTTAGGAAAATGAGTCAGGCAAAAAGCTCCAAACTAGGACCCCTGGGTTTGAGTCCTACCCTCTGTACGCAGTGGGTCTGGAGTCCCAGCCCTCCTTCCCAAGCTTCCTCCACAAGCCAGGCTCCATCCCCATCTGCTGATGTGTCCTGCCTTGAATCTTGCTGCTTTGATTAGCTGTATGACCTTAAAGAATACACTGTCCCTCTTCATAAAATGAAGGGCTGGCTCTGAGGTTAAGTGACCTCAACACATTGCCCGCTGGTCCAGGGAAATCAGTGCCCAAGCCAGAGTCCCCACTTCTAAGCTCCCTGGGCATTGTTCTTGCCACTTGGCTAGGAAATCTCCTTCCAGCTGTCCCAATCTAGCCCCCACCCTGGAGCTGTGCCCCCAACTCTTTCCTACCCCTCTCTGCTGCTGACACTCAGCCCCTTCCCATCTCACAGTTGGATATAGAACCCAGGACAGGGGAGCAGTGAGGACACTGCTGAAACGGGGCCAGGTCAGCAGAGGGGGCACAGCACCCGAGGGAGTGCCCTGCAGGAGAGCCAGGGGCCTGCCTGCCAAAGGCACGGTGGGCTGGTGGGGTGGTCGTGGTCAGTCCCTCTCCTACCAGCTGTGGAATGTGAGGCCTGGCCTGGGAGATATTTTTGCCGCACTTTGAGCCACCCCGCCCCCTGGAACTCAGACCCTGCACACTCCATGCCATAACAATGACGACCACTTCCAATTGTTTCCTAGCTGGAGGGGGGAGGGGAGCACTGTTTGGGAAGAGGAGGGAGCCTGGGGGAAATACTTCTAGTGACAACAGCCCTTTCTAAATCCGGCTAGGGACTGGGTGCAGGTGGGGGTGGGGTCGCCCTGCTGCCCCATATATACAGCCCCTGAGACAAGGTCTGGCTCCACAGCTCTCTCCTGCTCCCTGTGTCTTTCCTTGCTGTTCTCAGGTAGGAGTGGGAGACGGATAATGGGGCTCCAGGTTTAGGAAGGGGTTCCTCTAGGAACAGCAAGCTTCATGCAGGGCTTCACGCAGAGTACTAGGTCCAGGCATTGAGCACACTTGTGCAGGTCTAAACGTGCGTATGTGCCGTGGGAGTGTGGGGCTCACGTATTACCTCACTGGCTAAGATATAGAAGTATCGAGAGGGAGACGTGTGTTTATGATCATGCCTGAGAACAAGCAGGTCCATTTGGGGGGAGGGGAAGATGGTGGAAAATGATTATATAGGAAGTGTATCTGTTTACTAGTAGTTCTGTGGAGCCTGGAATGTACAGCTACCCCTCTCCAAGCAAGTGGAGGTGCTTGTCTGTGCATCCAGGAGTCACGGCTATTAACCGCAGGTGTACCCACTGTAGGAGGAGCTCACAGGCACATGGGCATGCGTGTTCCGGGGCCTTGTATGCTGAAGAATATGCAGCCATGTGAACCTATTATGCTGTGCACATTCTCAAAGGTGCACATCTGTTGTTGAGGCATCTATGGCGCCCTGGGGGCGGGTGCTGTGGTCCAGGGAGGACACCTGTCTTTGTATGAGACGTGTGCATGAACAGCAGGCGTGCATGTTCATTGAGGGCATGCAGGAGGCTACAGCATCTGCTCACAGAGAAGGTCCACAAAGTCTGGCAATAAAATGGAGGATGAGATGGAAAACAACTGGCTTTAGAGTCTTGAGACTTGGGTTCCAGTGTTGGCTCTACCACTTACTGTTATGTGTTCTTAGACAGGCAAGCTATTTCACCTGGGAGGACTGAGTAAGAGGATGTGCATCGAGGTGCTTTGCAGACTGGAAAGCACTGACCATTAGTTGTTTCTTAGGTGGCTCAAAGAAAGAAGATCTCACTAGATAAGCGCAGGCAGGAGTGAGGAGGATTAGGGCTCAGAGTTGAGTTGACTCCGGGAAACTATTAGAATCGGTCCTTGGGGAAAAAGGGAATCATGTTTGAAAAGCAAGAAGGAGGATGGGAGCACCACTTGCACCTTGTTTTAAGGTCTGGGGAAGATGGGCATTGAAGGACAGAGCCGGGAGAAGCAGGGGCATGGAACTGGCCAGGTTGGGTGGCAGCCTGCCCTGACACAGCCTCTTCCCTCTGTCCAGGTCCCTGTAGGCCTGGGCTCCTTTCCTCATCTGTAGACACACTTGAGAAGCCAAGGTAAGACAGCTAACGCTAGAGCGTGGGGGGATCTGAGAAGATTGAGCACAATAGCCCCAAAACCAGGCTGTGGAGCTCTACTTTCGGCCCTGCCCTGAGGAGAATATCTTGGCCACCAGGAGCCCCTTTCCCATGACTAGTGAGGGGACCCAGGGACCCTTGAGGGTCACACATGGATATGGTCAGATTCCTATTCCTACTCCTACAAAAAGCCCAGGACACTCTGCCCTCCCTGGGAGAGCCCTGGCCTGGACAACGGTTAGTTGCCCTTCTACCCTGGCAGTTTGCTGGGCTGCTCTTCCGCTTAAGGGGTAAGCTCAAAGAACAAGGGACTTACCGGGGACTCCTCTTGACTCCTGAGCATGGTGCTAGGTTTTGGGGCTCCCACCGAAGGAGAGCCCAGGGAGGGGGCGTGGGGAGTGTGCTGATGGCAGGGCAGCCAGCTTGTCCCTCTCACTACAGGCACCACCATGGGGGACGCAGAGATGGCCGTGTTTGGGGAGGCCGCTCCCTACCTGCGCAAGTCAGAGAAGGAGCGGCTCGAAGCTCAGACCAGGCCTTTCGACCTCAAGAAGGATGTCTTTGTGCCTGATGACAAAGAGGAGTTCATCAAGGCTAAGATTATGTCTCGAGAGGGTGGCAAAGTCACAGCCGAGACCGAGCATGGCAAGGTGGGTTGTAGGGATGATGTGAGGCCACCCTGGCCACCCCCACCCCTGGGTGGACAGAGGGGAGTGTGCTCAGGCTCTGCCCTGTGCAGACCTGAGGCTAGTCTTCCCTTTGGGTGAGGATCCAGACCCTTCCAAGAGCCTGCTCATTCCCAACATCGGATCTGCCTTCTCTGAGGGATCCTGGTTCTTTTTCTCTTGAACATGATTGTCCTTTAATTCGCCCAACTCCTATCCCTCCTGAGGGAGGAGGGAAAGCACAGGCTCAGAGGATGGCGGGGGGCTGTGTGGGGCTGTTGCAGACGGTGACTGTAAAGGAGGACCAGGTGATGCAGCAGAACCCACCCAAGTTCGACAAGATCGAGGACATGGCCATGCTGACCTTCCTGCACGAGCCCGCGGTGCTCTACAACCTCAAGGAGCGCTACGCGGCCTGGATGATCTACGTGAGTGGTCCTGCACACACTCACTCAGGGCCTCCCTGTCCTGGATGGAGGCCAAAGTAGTCCAGGGGCACTCTCCCAAGGACAGGGGGTAGGCAGCCTCCCAAGGGACCCAGATCTCCTCTCCCGCCTCCTCGCCCCTGGTCAGCTGCAGGAAGGGAAGAGCCAGCTGGAGTGACCAGCGGCACCTAGCCCTCCGGCCCGTGCATGTCCAGTCCAGGGGCTGAGAGTGTCTGTTCTTTGTGTCCAGGCCTTGTTGCACTCTATCCTTGTCCCTACATCCTTGGTTCCATTCTCCCACCCACCTCTGGCATTACTCAGACTGAATGTATTCCAAGGTTCTCCTTTCTCTTCTTCCTTTCCTAAGGTCTTCCTCTAACTCTGAAAGTCACCCCCTCCCCACTCTTCATCACAGCAACTCTCTCCTCCTTTTCTCCCCACAGACCTACTCAGGCCTGTTCTGCGTCACCGTCAACCCCTACAAGTGGCTGCCGGTGTACACTGCTGAGGTGGTGGCCGCCTACCGGGGCAAGAAGAGGAGCGAGGCCCCACCCCACATCTTCTCCATCTCTGACAACGCGTATCAGTACATGCTGACGGGTGAGGGGCCCAGGGAAGGGTCTCCCTGAAGGGAGCTGGGAGAGGCTGGAGAGTAGGGGAGGAGGCGGCAAGAACTGCTCGGGAGCATCCTGTGCAGCTCCTGACTTTGCCTCCCCTCTCTCCCCACAGACAGAGAAAACCAGTCCATCCTGATCACGTGAGTATAGCTCCTGCCCTGCTCCCTGCCAGAGTCTCCCTGGCCCAGCCCCAGCCCCAGCAGGGACCCCAGGGCTCCATGCACAGACCCGCAGCCCTCCTTCCTGTCCCTGTCTGCCCATCTCCTCTTTCTTCTCTGACCTTCACCCTGACCCTTCTCTTTTCTCCCCCTTTCCTGCTTTCCACCTCCTCTGATTTCTCCTCTCCCATCTCCTTCACCCCATCTCCTCCAACACATCATTCTTTTATCCATAAGCCCGTTATCACCGTGTCTTCTTCAAATCTTCATTTTCTTGCATCTTTCCCTTCAGAAGCCTTTCCTGTTCTTCCAGCTGCACCCACTCTTTTCCAAGCAGCCCAGGGCCCCCTCCTCCAATTGACCTGGCCCAGGTCTCTCCTGACTCGAGGCTTGTTGGTCTCAAGCAGTGGTGGTCACTGCCTAATGAGCCCTGACTGTCCCCACAGCGGAGAATCCGGGGCAGGGAAGACGGTCAACACCAAGAGGGTCATCCAGTACTTTGCTGTCATTGCTGCCATTGGGGACCGCAGCAAGAAGGACCAGAACCCAGGCAAGGTAGGCCTGCTGCCCTGCATGGGCCTGCACGGCAGAAAGGGAGGGCAAGTCCTCTCTCACCTGCCATCCTTCTTGACCTCTGCAGGGCACCCTGGAGGACCAGATCATCCAGGCCAACCCCGCCCTGGAGGCCTTCGGCAATGCCAAGACCCTCCGGAACGACAACTCCTCCCGCTTCGTAAGTGGTCCCTGATCTTGGGCTTGGGACTTGGGCTGGTCCAAGCATGGCCCCAAATAGGAGCCTTACCCCAACTCATCGCCACGCTCTTCCATCTCTCCAGGGGAAATTCATTCGAATTCATTTTGGGGCGACTGGAAAGCTGGCGTCTGCAGACATAGAGACCTGTGAGTGCCATGAATCTGCTGGGGCTCAGCCGAGCTCACCCTTGTTCCACACCATCTGGTCTTGACCACCCTCCCTATCCCTTCCCCTCCCGCCTCTGCTCTTCTCCTCTCTTTCTGTCTCTGTCTCTGTGTGTCTCTGTCTCGAGGTCTGTACATTTGTCTCTGAGACTCCCTCTGGCTCTTTCTCCACCTCTGTCTCTGCATGTCTGTGTCTTTCTCTGGGATTTAGCTCTGAGACTATTTCTTTTTTCTTTTTTCTTTTTTTTTTTTGAGACAGAGTCTGACTTTGTTGCCCAGGCTAGAGTGAGTGCCCTGGCGTCAGCCTAGCTCACAGCAACCTCAAACTCCTGGACTCAAGCAATCCTTCTGTTTTAGCCTCCCCTGAGTAGCTGGGACTACAGGCATGCGCCACCATGCCCCGCTAATTTTTTTCTATATATATTAGTTGGCCAATTAATTTCTTTCTCTTTATAGTAGAGATGGGGTCTCGCTCTTGCTCAGGCTGGTTTTGAACTCCTGACCTTGAGCGATCCTCCTGCCTCGGCCTCCCAGAGTGCTGGGATTACAGGCATGAGCCACCGCGCCTGGCTGAGACTATTTCTCTTTCTGGGTCTCTATCTGCATCCCATCTCTGTGTGTCATGTACCAGTCTCTCGCTCTCTGTCTTGTCCTCTCTCTTTGCCTTTTTTTTTTTTTTTTTGAGACAGAGTCTTGCTTTGTTGCCCAGGCTAGAGTGAGTGCCGTGGTATCAGCCTAGCTCACAGCAACCTCAAACTCCTGGGCTCAAGCAATCCTGCTGCCTCAGCCTCCCAAGTAGCTGGGACTACAGGCATGTGCCACCATGCCCGGCTAATTTTTTGTATATATTTTTAGTTGGCCAATTAATTTCTTTCCATTTATAGTAGAGACGGGGTCTTGCTCTTGCTCAGGCTGGTTTCGAACTCCTAAACTCGAGCAATCCGCCTGCCTTGGCCTCCCAGAGAGCTAGGACTACAGGCGTGAGCCACCCCACCCGGCCATCTCTTTGCCTTTTGCTGCTACGTTTATCATTCATTTTCCTCTATTTCCTTGTACCTAACTCCAACCTTTTTTCTTTCTTTCCTTCTCCCTGCCTATTCACAGACCTTCTGGAAAAATCCAGAGTTATTTTCCAGCTGAAAGCGGAGAGAGATTATCACATTTTCTACCAAATCCTGTCTAACAAAAAGCCGGAGCTACTGGGTGAGTCAGAGCTACTGACTGAGACCAACCGTCTCCATGGCAACCTGGTCCCCTCCGCCTGCAGCTGGATTCTGCTGGCATGCCCGGGCTGTGTGTTACTGCTGGATCCGGTTCTGTGGGATGTGGGGCCAAGTCAAGCCCTGCCCTGTGCTCTCCATCGTGTCGTGTGCTGTGGTGGCAGTCCCCATGAAAGCCGGGGGCTGTGTCACGGCCTAACCACGTGTTCTCCCCCCAGACATGCTGCTGATCACCAACAACCCCTATGATTATGCCTTCATCTCCCAAGGAGAGACCACCGTGGCCTCCATTGATGATGCTGAGGAGCTCATGGCCACTGATGTAAGTGTGTGAGGACCCAGTGGGGGGGGGGATTGACAGTGAGGAGCAAGTGGGGCAAGTTCACCACCCCAGGAGCAGAGCCAAGACACTGCCTGTCTGTTGTTCATAGTGGTATGGCCCTCCCAAAGCCAGAATGTGCCCTGTCACCAGGGCATGCTGGGGTATGGATGAGGTAAGACAGGACTGGCCAGCATTTGGAGTTCGATCAAACCAAAAAGGGCAGAAAACCCTGGGACAGAGAGGCACACAAGCCAGGAATCAAGGAACCACCAAGGGAGGAGGTGAGGAAGAGCCACATGGCAGTCACGGGGCTGGGGCAGGCTGTCAGGTGAGAGCAGATATGGAAGGTGTGGAGGCCAGGCAGGGAAGCAAGAGTAGTGTCTGGAAACATGAGTGGGTAACCCAGAACCACTGTGACCCCCGACAGCAGGACTGAGGCAGTCTGAGCTTTGCATAGCCCATCTTTGCTCTGGAGCTCTCCACTGGGGATGGGAGTCTCAGAGCCCACGGGGATTAAGAAGGCAAATTCTCTCTGCAACTTACAAGGGGTCTCCTTTACCCACCACCCTTCTTTTTCTGGGATCCACCCGTACGGGGCCTGCCTACAGAATGCCTTTGATGTGCTGGGCTTCACTCCAGAGGAGAAGAACTCCATATACAAACTGACGGGCGCCATCATGCACTTTGGAAACATGAAATTCAAACAGAAGCAGCGGGAGGAACAGGCAGAGCCAGATGGCACTGAAGGTGGGAGGCAGGGATGCTGGGGACAGCCGTTGGTCACTGAGGGCCACACCTGCAGGGCAGGCATCTATTTACGATCTTTGTTGCCTCCCCTTTCCTTGCAGAGGCTGATAAGTCCGCCTACCTCATGGGGCTGAACTCAGCCGACCTGCTCAAGGGGCTATGCCACCCTCGGGTGAAAGTGGGCAACGAGTATGTCACCAAGGGGCAGAATGTCCAGCAGGTGGGTCATCTTCAGAAGATAAATGGGCAGGGTAGGGAGCCTGGCATGGCACAGGGGGGAGCTTTAGAATTCACCCCTCCCAATGACCCTACTCAATATGGGTGTCTCCCCTACCTTGCAGGTGGCATATGCCACTGGAGCACTGGCCAAGGCGGTGTACGAGAAGATGTTCAACTGGATGGTGACGCGCATCAACGCCACCCTGGAGACCAAGCAGCCACGCCAGTACTTCATAGGAGTCCTGGACATCGCTGGCTTTGAGATCTTCGACGTGAGTCAGGGAAGCCCTGGGAGTGGGCAGAATGTCACTCACTCATTCCACCTTTAACTGCCACTGCTGAGTGCCAGCCAGGGGCCCAAATGGGAAGGTGGTGGAGACTGTGTGGTGACAGAGGCAGTCATCGTCCCTGTCTCCCGGGGAAGCTCTCCTCTGCTGCCCTGACCTGGGAGGGGACCAGCTGCACCCCAGCTGGGCTCGGGCACAGTGCACAGGCACAGCCCTGGGCCAACCCCAGTGGCCACTCGGACACCCACCCACCTGCCTGCTCCCGCCCCTCCCTCCCCTGCAGTTCAACAGCTTTGAGCAGCTCTGCATCAACTTCACCAACGAGAAGCTGCAGCAGTTCTTCAACCACCACATGTTCGTGCTGGAGCAGGAGGAGTACAAGAAGGAGGGCATCGAGTGGGAGTTCATCGACTTCGGCATGGACCTGCAGGCCTGCATCGACCTCATCGAGAAGGTGCGGCCTCCGCCCCACTGCCCATGTCCCCCACCTCTGCCATCCCAGACAAAGAGGCAGCCCCAGAAACTAAAATCCCCGGAATCTCAAGCCTCACTCCAGGCCCAGTTTCTACTCATGGGAAGTCATGGGCAGGCACAGGATGAGCCCTTTCCTTCTTTTCCCAGGACCTTGCACCAGTATGGTGGTCACCTCTCCGTGTCTTAAGAGTGAGATGTAGTAAAGGAGAGGACCCTTGGCCCTTGACAGCCCATGACCAGCTGCACCCCAGCTGGGCTTGGGCACAGTGCACGGGCACAGCATGCATTCGTAGAAGCACCATTCGTAGAAAGATCCTAGGCTGAGACTAGAGATGTTTGGCTTCCCCTATCTTGCTGTGTGTTGAGAAATAAGCCAGCCTCCAGCCCCGCCTGTCTATCGGCATTTCCCAGGAGAGACAAGGGCGTTGGTGGCAGGCTCCCCCGTGCCAGAGCAGAGCTGCTCTCAGTGTGGCTTCACTCTGCGAACACGGCACAGACCCTCACCCCACCCAGCCACTGCTTTCAGCAAACGGGAGCTTCCCCACAAGCTTTGAGTCATTATCCAGAGATTCTGAACTGGGGTTCTCATCTTTCAGAGGCCTCAGAATCACATAAAACTGTGGGGGAGAAAAACATGTGTACATGCATGTGGGCTTGTTCATGTGTATGTATATGTGTGTACATGCATTGTTTCTGGAGAGTCAGTCTTTGGCTTCATCAAATTCTCAAAAGGATTCCTGCCCCAGGAAAAGTCAAGAACCACCACATGCTTTCTGAAGTGCAGAGTATTATGTAGAGTCTGGGTCCTTCTAAGCATCCTTTGGAAAACTGCTACCAGAGTTATACAGTCTGGCCTGCCCCTGCAGTCTGCTGCCTCTGACACACCTGTCCCTGCCCTGGTGTCTCTGGGGCAGGAAGCCATCGGGAGGAAGGGGCTGTGTTGTGAGGCCATGTGGGCCTCGAGGGGTGATTAGGAGTGCATAGCTCTTTGTAGGGTCCACTGGGGCAGAAAGAGTCCAAGCCTGAATGTCATTGGATTTAGGTTGATTTCAGGAAGATGGGCTTCCTATCTGGAGGCAAGAGGTACCAGTGCAGCCAGAAGTACTGGGCTATAGAGTCTTTTGTCTGTCTTAGTGTGGGACTCTGGGAGCCTGGGAGTGCACTCAGTGACTCTGTCTCTACCTCTCACCCTGCCCTCAGCCCATGGGCATCATGTCCATCCTGGAGGAGGAGTGCATGTTCCCCAAGGCCACCGACATGACCTTCAAGGCCAAACTCTTCGACAACCACCTGGGCAAGTCCAGCAACTTCCAGAAGCCCCGAAATATCAAGGGGAAGCCGGAAGCCCACTTCTCCCTGATCCACTACGCTGGCATCGTAGACTACAACATCCTGGGCTGGCTTCAGAAGAACAAGGACCCTCTCAATGAGACGGTGGTGGGCTTGTACCAGAAGTCTTCCCTCAAGCTCATGGCCACGCTCTTCTCGACCTATGCTTCTGCCGACAGTGGTAAGGGGGCAGCCCCTACACTGGGCCAGGGGATGTCTGGAGGTACGAGGGGTCAGGGTCCTGCTGCTTCAAAGCACAGGACTCCAAGGGCAGGGAGAGCCCAGGGTCAGTCCGCAGCAGTCCCTCTGTACCAGCCACTCCGCTTTGTGTTGGGGATGGTGGTGTTTCCTCAAGACTGAGCAACTGGAGGTCGATGAGCATGGTGAATGCCCCATTAGAGCACGCCCAGCGTGGAGCAGAGCACACAGGAGTCCTCAATAAATGTGGAGAGAACCACTGAACAAATGAGCCTCCAATTCGGAGAAGGGAGACGGGTGTGGGTTGAAATGAAGAGGATAAAGCATGAGGAGAAGAGTAGAAGGGGAAAGATATAAGAAGGAAGGGTGGGGCTTGAAGAGGGAGCAATGGGGCCCTGGCGTTATTTCAGTGCCTACTGTGCGGCAGGCATTGGTGAGCTGCCTCGCGTCTTGATTTTGTCTAGTGCCCTTCACAACTTCTATTAGTGCTGTCATCCTCATGGAAAACTGAGACTGACTTGGAGAACGACTGGCCAGAAGTCACAGGGCTACTGAGTGCGAGGTGGAGCCCTGCCTCTGCCTGAGGGCTTCTGTGTTTTCAAGCTCTGTTCATTGTTCTTTCTCTTGTTTTTAGCAGATAGCGGTAAAAGCAAAGGAGGCAAGAAAAAGGGCTCATCCTTCCAGACAGTGTCAGCTCTCCACCGGGTAAGCAGGGCCCAGAGCAGCCAGGGCGCCTGTGGGGCAGGTCTGGCTCGGGTCTCTTGGCTGCACAGCCCTATCCTGATTCTCTGAGTCTGGGGAGGAAGGAGGCCAGAGCTTTGTGGTGGTTTCTCATGTGTAGCTTCTACACAAGCTTGAACTCACATCATAAACTATGTGTCAAGTCCTTGACCCTTTGATGGTTCTGGTGACAGGGTGGCTGGGGCCTAAGGGCTCACGGACCTAAGGGATGGTCCTTGTGGCCGCTAACTCCTCACCTTCATCCACCCCCAGGAGAATCTGAACAAGCTGATGACCAACCTGAAGACCACCCATCCCCACTTCGTGCGCTGCATCATCCCCAACGAACGGAAGGCTCCAGGTGAGCGTGGGGGGAAGACCACAGCCTGGGGAGGCTGCCTGGCATCACTCACCCTAAGGCTGACCCCTGCCCTCCCCCGCAGGGGTGATGGACAACCCCCTGGTCATGCACCAGCTGCGCTGCAACGGCGTGCTGGAGGGCATCCGCATCTGCAGGAAGGGCTTCCCCAACCGCATCCTCTACGGGGACTTCCGGCAGAGGTGGGTACCGGGCTTCCCCACAGCTCAGGGAACAGGGGCAGCCTGGGCTGCTCTGAACGGAAGGGAGCCTGCCGGTGGCCCTGGCATTCTGCGGCAGAGACCAGTGCGGAGCGTGGGTGACTGTGGCCTTCCGCTCCCCAGGTATCGCATCCTCAACCCGGCCGCCATCCCCGAAGGGCAGTTCATTGACAGCAGGAAGGGGGCAGAGAAGCTGCTGGGCTCCCTGGATATTGACCACAACCAGTACAAGTTCGGCCACACCAAGGTGAGGACAGGGAGGGGACAAATCAGTTAGAGGAAGACATCTCTCCTCCATTGAGTCCTCAGCTCGGGACTCCTTTCCTTTGACCAGTCGGCTTGGCAACATCTCTGCCCCCTGCCCCGTGCTACCCCCCCAGTGGGACACCCAGCACCACTCCCCTCACCCCAGCCCCCACTGCCGTGCAGCTCCTCCCTCCAAGCCTGTCCTAGTAGGCGCCCTTCCCAGCATGCCCCACACCACCCCTGCCTGGCAGCCCAGGCCCAGCACACACCTTCCCTGCAGGTGTTCTTCAAGGCGGGGCTGCTGGGGCTACTGGAGGAGATGCGGGACGAGAGGCTGAGCCGCATCATCACGCGCATCCAGGCCCAGTCCCGGGGCGTGCTCTCCAGAATGGAGTACAGGAAGATGGTGGAACGCAGGTGAGAGAACAGCGAAGGAGGTTCCCTGCCTCCCTTAGGCCCAGGCTGGTTCAGGGGCAGTGTCAGGAGACTGACACTGGGTCTTCAAACAAAGCGACCTGTGGGAGGGGCTGATGTGGACACAGGGTGGCCTCAGAGAGGGTGGGGTGGATGTAGGAAAGGGGCATTACCAAGGGTTCGGGAGCTCAGGTGGGAAGGAGGCAGGAGGGGACTCACACCACCCCTTTCGCTGGGCCCCCGCAGAGACTCCCTGCTGATAATCCAGTGGAACATTCGGGCCTTCATGGGGGTCAAGAATTGGCCCTGGATGAAGCTCTACTTCAAGATCAAGCCGCTGCTGAAGAGCGCAGAGACGGAGAAGGAGATGGCCACCATGAAGGAGGAGTTCGCACGCCTCAAAGAGTCGCTGGAGAAGTCTGAGGCTCGCCGCAAGGAGCTGGAGGAGAAGATGGTGTCCCTGCTGCAGGAGAAGAATGACCTGCAGCTCCAAGTGCAGGCGGTGAGGCTCCTGGCGACACTGTTGGCTCTTCCACCCTGTTCTGCCTCCACCTCCTGCACCCAGCCCCCCACCTCGCAGGAGCTCGCCATCTTGTTCCCTCATCGTGAGAGGATTCTGTGGTCAGCACCTCCAAAGGCCTCCAAAGAGGTTCCTCAGGAGGAGGAAAGGGGACGGGGAAAATAACTAACTTTTAGGCCGGGCGCGGTGGCTCACACCTGTAATCCTAGCTCTTGGGAGGCCGAGGCGGGCGAATTGCTCAAGGTCAGGAGTTCAAAACCAGCCTGAGCAAGAGCGAGACCCCGTCTCTACTATAAATAGAAAGAAATTAATTGGCCAACTGATATATATATAAAAAAAAAAAATTAGCCGGGCATGGTGGCGCATGCCCGTAGTCCCAGCTACTCGGGAGGCTGAGGCAGAAGGATCGCTCGAGCCCAGGAGTTTGAGGTTGCTGTGAGCCAGGCTGACGCCACGGCACTCACTCTAGCCTGGACAACAAAGCGAGACTCTGTCTCAAAAAAAAAAAAAAAATAACTAACTTTTAAAAGCACAGGCTTTCCACCTAAGTTCAACCTAGATCCACAGCTTAAGAATTTTGTGACCTTGGGCAAACCACTCATCCTCTTTGAGCCTCAACTTACTCATCTCTAGACAGGGAATAAAGCTGCTCATTTCACTGGGTTGTCAATACATAAAATGCTGGGCATCAGCAAAATACAGTCCCCTCCTTCCACAGAAGAGACTAGAGGAAGAGGACCAGATAAAGACCTCTCTGTTCCTACCCCAGTGCTCCCACGTTACACTGCCCTGAAATGCTTCCCCTCCCCATCATTGAGGTTCTCAACCGGGAGATACCCTAGAGCTCCCATTCTATTTGAGGGATGCTCCCCTCCCTCCCTCCCTCCACCTGCAAGGACAAGGACCCTGCCCGATAGACAGCCTCCCCTCTGTGCCTTGCCCTCAGGAACAAGACAACCTGGCTGATGCTGAGGAGCGCTGCGACCAGCTCATCAAGAACAAGATCCAGCTGGAGGCCAAGGTGAAGGAGATGAACGAGAGGCTGGAGGACGAGGAGGAGATGAACGCTGAGCTCACTGCCAAGAAGCGCAAGCTGGAAGATGAGTGCTCTGAGCTCAAAAGGGACATTGATGACCTGGAGCTGACACTGGCCAAGGTGGAGAAGGAGAAACATGCAACAGAGAACAAGGTGAGGGCAGCTGCCTCTGGCTCCAGCCCAGGTCTCCCCAGGATTCCCAGACCACACTGACCTTCACCCAGGCCAGCCCACTCAGGATCTTGACAGCAGCATGACACCTGGCATGGAGGTCCCCATAGATGTCTCCAGAATGGTGACCTCTGACCCTAAAGGGGGTGGGGCTCTTGGTCACAGGTGAAGAACCTGACAGAAGAGATGGCTGGGCTGGACGAGATCATCGCCAAGCTGACCAAAGAGAAAAAGGCTCTTCAGGAGGCCCACCAGCAGGCCCTGGATGACCTCCAGGCTGAGGAGGACAAGGTCAACACCCTGACCAAGGCCAAAGTCAAGCTGGAACAGCAAGTGGATGATGTAAGTAGATTGAGAGTTGTAGGGCCTAGATATACCATGTCCATCTGTGCTCGTCTTGGGATGGGGAGTAGGGTTTGAAGGTGTTCAAGTTCTGATATCTTTCTAGAAGGGAGCTAAAGGATGAAAGGGGGGAGAGTGATTAATTCTGAAACATACATCTGATCTCACAGATAAGATCAATAATAGAGATGGGCTTTCTTCTTTAACTTATATTCAAGCCCATATATCTCTCCCATTGATCGCAGGATTTAGAGGGTTCTCACAAAAGAAATGAAACATTTCTTTGGAAATTTTGCAAAGCTTCTCAGAGAGGATCTTTGAATTGACATTTTAGGCAGGATCTGGTCCTGACTGATCATTGCACCATCAGATGTACATATCTCTATTGATCACTTATCACTCTGTAATGTTTTAAGTATCTGCCTCAACTATAAGACTATTAAGCTCCTTTCAGACAAGAACTTGAGTTTATTCAATTTTATATCTGCTGTGTCTAACACACAGCCTGGTACCCAATAGGTGCTTATTGGATGCTGAATGAATGAATGTAGATTTGGGGTTTTGTTCCACATTCATTCATTCTTTTATTTATCAAATATTTATTGAGTATACTCTACATGCTATGCATTCTCGAAGTTCCTTGGTAACATTTGGCCCACTCTGGGGAGGGTTTCCCCAACCCTAGAGTAACTGAGCTACAAAATCACCTAGTCAGGATGCTCTGCCTCATGGGCCTGGCTTGTCCATCTCTCCGTCAGCTGGAGGGGTCCCTGGAGCAGGAGAAGAAGGTGCGCATGGACCTGGAGCGAGCAAAGAGGAAGCTGGAGGGTGACCTGAAGTTGACCCAGGAGAGCATCATGGACCTGGAGAATGACAAGCAGCAGCTGGATGAGCGGCTGAAAAAGTACTGAGTTCCCTTCCCCGCTGCCCTTCGTCTTCCCCAGGCCAGCAGCCTGTTCTGCCTACAGGCTGACCCATCCTCAGAGACAATGACCTCATCCAGCCTCCATAAATGGATGCTCAAGCCCTAGGGAAGACGCCTTCAGCGTGAGGGCTTTGCTCCCCCAGACCCAGACATCAGGGCCAGGTGGTCTTCCCTGGCAAAGCCTAACTTTGATCCCTCAAGCCCTTTCTTTCCGTTGGGCACTCAGTGGGAATGGAAATAACAGCTTGCCCCCTTTATACACAACCCTCTTTGGAGACCAGTTGCTGCACATGGAGGAAGGATCCGCACAGAAACCTGCCAGGAAAGTCTCTTTGGGAAGGTTCACACAGAGAGCCCAGAGGGCCACCAAGAAACAGATCTGCCCTTGAGTTTAAGAAGTGGAGGGGGACAGGTGCAGTGGCTCACACCTGTAATCCTAGCACTTTAGGAAGCTAAGGCGGGAGGCTCGCTTGAGCCCAGGAGTTTGAGACCAGCCTGGACAACATAGAGAGATCCCATCTCTCCAAAAAATTTTTAAAAATTATCCAGGCATAGTGGCATGTACCTGTAGTCCCAGCTATTCAGGAGGATCCTCTGAGCCCAGGAGTTTGAGGCTGCAGTGAGCTATGGTTGCAACACTGTACTCCAGCCTGGGCAATAGAGCCAGACCCTGTTTTTAAAATAACAAATAATAAAAGAAGAAGTAGAGGGATCAGGCCTTTTCTTTGTGTTGGTTAACTTGTGGTTCCAATTCCTTCCAAAATGTATAGACCTACTTTCCAGACTTGGTAAACAGCAAGGTTGTAGGACATATTTTGAT